TTTTCTGTTCTTTGTTTGTTGCTTCTCTTATCGTGTTGTTGTTGTAGAAGTTACGATGCTTCCTCGTCCTCGCGCGCGCACCCTGGAGACACCGACCAACGAGCAGTTCGCTTAGAACCTTCATCAGCTGACTCAGACCATGCAGACGCTAAGTGAAGCTCTGTTGAACAACAATCACGCTGTGCCGCCTCCTCCCCCTGCTGGGCACCGTGACGTAGGACGTTTAGTGTCAGGTCATCGGCCGCCAACCTTCGCTGGCGAGGAAGACCCTGTAGTCTTAGAAGAGTGGCTACGGGTGTTTGATAAGATCTTCACCGTGGTGGGCTGCCCCGAAGAAAGGAGAGTAGAACTGGCAACGTTCTACTTTTGTAAAGAAGCGGACTTGTGGTGGGTCCACGAAGGCCCGGCTCTTCTTGAAGAACCAGAGTTCGACTGGACAGCGCTCAAGGACCGGATGCGTGAAAGGTTCTATCCGGCACATGTGCGCGCTACCATGTACGAAGAGTTCCTCCACCTGCAGCAAGGGTCCATGTCTGTGGTTGCGTACCACAAGAGGTTCTTGGAGCTGGCACGTTTTGCGAGGATGCTTGTGCCTACGGAGCTCACCAAAGTCAAGAAATTCTTGGCCGGTCTGTACTATGAGGCGCGAAAAGCTTTGACTTTGAGTAGGCTGAGTTCTCTTAAGGACGCTTACGTGTGTGCCGCTGATCTGTATCGTGTGCAGCAGCTTCAGAGGGGTTCGTTTGAGCAGGTTAGGAAGAGATCTGAGGGCGGGAGTTCTTCTACCTTCAAGAAGTCAAGACCGAGTTTCCCGCCAGGAGCATGTCATCTTCTTCTCATGGACCTATAAGGACGGAGCACGGGAACCAAGCTAAGGCATCCCTTTGTCAGCGTTGTGGGAAGATGCATGTGGGTCAAGGTTGCAACGGCTTTGCGTTCAGGTGTTTTCGTTGCGGAGATCGTGGCCACAAGATCGCGGAGTGTCCCCAGTTAGCCGGCCAGAGAGCGTTACCGCCACCCCCGGGAGCCGGAGGAGCATCGGGAGCTGGTTCGGGCCATGGAGCAGTTGGAGCAAGGTCACCTGGAAGAGTCTTCGTGATGGCGCGTTCGCAAGCAGAGTCGGAGGGTTTGGTGGAAGAAGAGTTGACAGGTAACCCTTGTCTTCGAGTCTATCCTTGTTTTCCCGAGAGTGTTGTGTTCTTTGTTGCCTTGAGTGTTATCTTGTGTTTCGTAGTTGTCTTTTGCTTGGTAATCCTTGGCATGCTTTTCTTGCTAGTAATTCTTTGGAGCTTAGTGTAAACTCTCTTCTTGCTAAGTGACTTCTTTAGTTGGCATCTAAGTCTTGTTGTGAAGTAGCCATCTATCTTTGGAATATCTTGTGCTTAGACCAATTCTACAATCCCTACACTTGGTTGTCCTTACAACAATATCTTGTCTTAGACCAATTCTACAATCCCTACACTTGGTTGTCCTTACAACAATATCTTGTGCTTAGACCAATTCTACAATCCCTACGCTTGATTGTCCTTACAACAATTCCTTGTGAACTTCCTAAATTTTCCAAGTATTCTTTAAATTTGGAAATAGCAAAATTCTTGCCAAAATTCTTTCTTGTGTATCCTCAAAATCAAGCCTAAAGTTTAATTGTAACCTTTGGGTGTCGAACCCAAGTTTATTCCTTTTCAACCCAACTTCTAAACCACTTGAGCTAAATGTCTTTCTTAGAACTTATCCAATTTTAATTCCTTCTAAACCATAAATTCCCACTTTACCCAAAATCCCCAAATTTAATCATCTTTTTCCCAATTTCTCCCAAATCCCTAAATCCCCAAAATTTTCTCTCCTTCTCCTTTTCCTTCCTCTCTACCCGTGAACACCCTAAGCCTCATCCCCAACCCATAGCTCCACCACCACCAACCCGTCGCCCCACCACCGCTGGACCACCGCCACACCGCCGTCGCTACAGCCGGAGCTGCCGCTGCCGTCGCCGATCTACTGTCCACCGCGTCGCCGAGCAGTCGCGAGAGAGAGAGAGAGAGAGAGAGAGTGAGGTAGCGTGAGTGAGAGGTAGAAGTTGTGGGCTTTGTTTGTTGAGCTTTGGGTCATCTCTTACCATGCCTAAAAGGTCAAGCTTGGCTAGAAAAGCGAAATGGGTGGATACCCACTACCTTGTTCTTGAAGGTAAAGCCTTTGATCCGGAATCTTTTTCTAGTTCCTTGTTGGATATGCTTAGGTATCAAGGTTTGTTGGATGGGTTTCTCGCCATAAGGGCCGAGACATACCCGAGTTTGGTGAAAGAGTTTTACTGTCACATGGTTGTGACGAAGGAGGGTGAAAGGCTTGAAATCACCTCTAAGGTGAGAGGTGTAAAGGTTGTGCTTTCTGAGAAGAGGTTGGCCCAGTTGTTGAGTTTGTCTGCTACCGGAGTGGCTCAGTACAATGGTCATTCTTGGATTAGTACGGATACCATGGGGTACCGTGACTACTTGAGCTACTTGTTAGGCCGTACGAGTGGTTTCACTCAAGCCTCTAGGCCGGAGAAGAAGTGGTTGTCTGCGGAGCAAAGGATCTTGGTGATGTTGGTATCAGACTGTCTGTTGCCAAACAATAACAAGAACAAGTTGTTGGGTAAGCTGGTGTGCACTTTTGCTTTCTGTCTGAAGAATATGGTTAAGTTCAACTTGCCTGCCTTGATGTTGCAACACATGATGTTTTGCCGGGATCACAATCGGAAGAGTTTGCCTTATGGAATGGTGTTGAGCTGGATCTTGGTTAGGAAGGGCGTCAGTGTGGATGGTTGTCTTCCTAAAGTTGTGGGGAAGCTAGTGTTGGATGCCACCAACCTTCGGAGTTGTAACCTGTTTCAGTTGGATGATGGTGAGTATATCACGCTTGAAGAAGTGGCAAGGAAAACACCTAATGAACGGGCGGAGTTAGCAGCTGAGCTTGGAATCCATGCCGGGAAGTTGAGCCTCTCTATTCAGAGCTTGGGAGGTGACGAAGAAGCCGAAGATGAAGCCGATCATGAAGATGAGGCGGGAGCGCCAGAAGCCGTGGAAGCTGAAGAAAGTGATTCGGAGAGTGAAGAGAACCAACGAAGAAGGGAAGCTCACACCAAGAGGGAGCACGACCCCACGTCGCACGAAGAGCGTGTTGTTGCTTTGCTTCGTCAGCAGAACCGCATGTTAGAGGAGGGTTTTGCTTTCATGAGGACGCAGTTCGTTGCTGTGCACCATCGGCTAGATCAGATCGAAGCCAGCTCGAGTCATCAAGGAGAAGCCGAGGAAGAGTCTGAGGAGTCGGAGAGCGAGTCTTTCTAGTAGTTGTGGTTACCTTGTTCGCCTTTTTCTTGTAGTTGCTTTTCTTTAGGCGTTGTCACCGTCGTTTGGTTGCTTGTTGTTGCTTTTGTGCATAAACCCTCACATTTCATAGCAAAGCACAAGTAGAATCCAAGAAATCACATATAGGTAAGCAAAATAGGTTTTAGTAGAGCATGGGTTACCTCTTGAAGACCAAAAGACTTCACTTTACACCTCAACAAGCTCCTTACAAGGCTTACTATCCAAACCCACTTCAAGATCAAACCAAAAGATCATAAAGATCCTACTTTTAAGAAAAAGACAACTAAGATGGAACCAAAAACACAAGATGGACTTAGATCTTACCCTCCTAGATGCCCAAATAGGTGAAAGGTTGAATCTTGGTATCTTGACAAGGGTCTCAACTTGGCTTGGAGAATAAGCTACAATTCTTTTCTAGAGAGAAGGTAGAGCTAATTTCTAGGAATTGTAAGGAATGAAATGAAGAAGTCTTCTAGGTTAGGTTACAATACTAACTCTTGGTGAATAGTCAAGAATACCCTTACAAACCTTTAGAATGTGTAAGGAACAAGGGAACTCCCCTCAAAGCTCACCGTACAACACAACTTTAAGGTTGACTAGTCAAATACTAGTCCTTGAGTATTAAAAATCAGAATTTTAGGAATTAATTCCTCAAATAAAATAGGATTAATTACTCAATTAATCCATGGATTAAATGTGGATTTTTGGGGTGTCACAATGGAGCTGTGGCCTTTGTGTAAGGTTCACGTTTTTGGGGGATAACAGGTGTTATCCGGGCATGTGTTCCATGTGCGTGTACGTTACCTCGTGTACTATGAATCGGCGGCTTTGTTGGAGGACTGTTGGAGGGGGAACGACTGTTCCCGGGGGAATAAGGTTGGACTGTATGTACAGGGATCCTGGAGGTAAAGGTTGGAACTAGATATAAGGTTGGGGGTAGCCATAAGGTTGGAACAGGGCATAAGGAAGGCATATCAACTCGTGGCGGGTGATGTCACGAGGGCTTGTGTAGCCGTGGTTGTGTGTTATCTCTTGTGACGTGTGTAGTCACAAAGGCATGTGTTTCCTAGGCATGTGTTGCCGATTGTCGTGTCTTGGTCCTTGTGGTGTCGTTGTTGTGGTCTTGGGATGTGTTCCCGTGGTATTTATTGATGAGTGTTGAGTCTTGAGTTGGTGTTTACTCTTGGTTTTACACTTATATATATATGTATTCCGTTTCGAAATGATTTTTGTATATACCCTACCTATGTATGATACTTAACAGGTATTGGTGGGTTACCAGCATTATCGCTGTCCGGGCGTCGTCCCAATGTTTATCTTTGTATCTTTCAGGTGATGTCTAGACGAGCGCGATTTTAGTGGCCGATAGTCTAGTACCTTTACCTTTGTTTTGTGGCCTGTGTGCCGTTGTAGTGTTAGTCTGTTACCTTTTGGGATAGATGTATACACTTGCAGATTGATCGCCGTAGCGTTTACCGTGTTTGGTAGACGTGGCATAACACCCTGTTTGGATTTCTTCTATCCAGTTTTCGTTTTATCTTCCGCTGTGCTAGTTTTGTTGTATGATCTGCAGGTGTAAGGCCTTTTATATAGGTCGTGTTTGAGGGGGGTGTTACAAATGTGATGTATATAATAAAGCACTTCTTGAAAAGATCTTGTATTCTCATTGCATATCTAAATGGATAAACAAAAATTATCATAAAATTTGCTAAACTAATGCATTACTATGCTTCATCAGAAGGAAGGGGAAGGAAAATCAATTCAGTGTTATTATAGAGTGATGAAAATTTCACACAATTTTGAGTAGCTTATATATTTATTAAAAAAAAAAAACAAAAACCAACATGACCAGAATAACAAAAAACAAAACAGGCCGGTCTCATGAATTGCTCAATGTTTCAATGAATTTTACATCTTGTATCTTATTGTATCTGTGAGAGTGGCAAAATGAACACATTTATTCATTAACAGAGAAGGGGAATAAATAGCCAACATCCCACACAACCAGAGAGCTAGTTAAACAGAACCCAAAAACTAGGTAAACAACAACAACTATTAACTAAGTCTCAATACGCCCCCGCAAGATCGGCGTACCATCGGTAAGCCCAATCTTGGTGCCGAACTTAATAAACAGTTGGTAGCCAAGCAGCTTTGTCAGAAGATCGGCAACCTATTATGTCGACTTCACATACGCCACACGCAGCGAGCCAGAGGACACCTGTTCACGAACAAAGAAATAATCGAGGGCTAAATGTTTCATCCGCGAGTGAAACACCGGGTTCTTATAAACATAAGAAACACTCAAGTTGTCAGTAACCAGAACCGGTGAAACACGTAACCGGACCCCAAGTTCTCGCAATAGATTCTGAATCCACATTACCTCGGCAACGGAATTAGCCAGCCCCCGAAACTCCACTTCCGTAGAAGACCGCGACACAGAGCGCTGTTTGGACGACTTCCAGGACACTACATTCGGACCAAGATAGACCACATAGGCTGTGGTGGAGCGATCCCCATCACGAGCGCCACCCCAGTCTGAGTCTGAATAGGACATCAAGGAAAGAGAATGACCCCTGTGAAAACGTAACCCATGATGCAGCGTACCCTTCGGGTAACGAAGAACGCGTTTCACTGCCTGCCAGTGAAGCTCAGTGGGAGAGGACATAAATTGAGCTAAGTGGTGGACGGGAGACGCAATGTCCGGTCTGGTAACCGCCAAGTACTGCAACCGTCCAATGGCTTGCCTTTACATCGTGGCATCAAACTGTAACACCCCGTATTACGACCCCTAACCCTAACCAAATATTTAATCACTTGCCCTAAAAAGAGAATTAAAAACCCATTAATCAACTAGGAAAGGTCCACCATAGTCCATAGGCCCACATCCCTATAACCAACCCCTTAGTCCTATAAGGAATAGAATTAGCAAGCCCATAATATTTAGACCCCAATTAGGACTCTTGGGAATATATATATATATATATATATATATATATATATATATATATATATATATATATATAGGGTCATAGGAGGCACCTAGACCACACACCACAAATAATCTTTCACCACACAAGAAGTTCCAAGAATTCCCTTAGGAGAAATCAAGAAAGGAGAAATCTTAAAGAAAGACCCTTCATAGCCAAGGAAATTAATTAAGGCTAAGAGGTAACCCATGTCTCAACAAAACCTATTTTCTTCGTTATAATCTCCTTCCTTGGCCTCCCTCTATATTCTTGCGTCTTGATTGAATTCTTCTATGATAATTGTGTTATGTTCTTGATGATTGATAGGATGATTTATATGCTTTCTTGATAATCTTGATGTTAAAAAGAAGTTCTTGATTATGATATGATGATTCTTGACGAATCTTGATATTTCTTGATGATAAAATATGTTTTTGATGATTTGGGTGGGATTAGAGCCCTAGGTTGGATTGGGAATTTGAATTGTGATGTTCTTGATTTATATTTGGGTGGGAATTCGCATGTTCGGGTGTTGTTTATATTTAGAAGTCGTAATAGGATAAGTCCTACGTGATTTTTGCTTTCGATCCGTTAATTGCTTACGTGATGTTGTTATTTGCGTTTAAAAGTGTCTAAGCATGGTTTCGGGTTCCACGAAGGTTCCCGGGACGAGTATATGAGTAAAGAGTCAGCGGGGGGTAGGTGGGGGTGGGGGAACCCACCACCTTCCCGCTTCCCAAAGGGGCACTGCCCGGCAGCGGGCAACCGACTGCCCGCCGGCAACCCGCTGCCCGGAACAGTGCCCTCCGGCGGGCAGCCGGCAGGTGACCCCCACCCACCGGCTACCCGCTGGTTCGTACCCCACCCCGGGTCCCCGGCTTCCCCGTTTGATGTTCCCCATCCCCCGTGGTGTCCCAACGGACCCCGTTTGTCGTGCCTGAGTCTAGTTTGATGTTTCGGGTGTCGTTCGTAGGATAAAAGAGTCTTAGGAATTGCATGCTAGTTGAATTGGTAACCCGTGGACCTAGGTGGAAGGTGTATGAGCCCTTAGGAATTATTCTTAGTATGTGAATGATCACACGTAAGTTTATTTATACGTCTTTCCCCTCCCAATATGCTATTACGTGTTCCTACGTGTTATGTGTTGCATGATCCCCCATTTTGGCTATAGGCCAATTGGGTGGTTCCCGGACTAAGGTTCGGAAGTCAGTTGAAGACCGAATGGATTGTTCCCGGACTGAAGGTTCGGAAGTGGCTGAAGGCTAATGGATTGTTCCTGAGCTACGGCTCAGAAGTGGCTAAGGCCAAATTGATACACTTCTTGGACTACAGGTCCAAATATGGGCCTCGGTGCTATGACCCACCGGACCTGAACGCGCCAGGACGGTGTGTAGGGCCAATAAGCCGAGGAAGGTTGTAGTCCACCGACCTGAGTAATCAGGCGGTGTGTAGGGCTACGGTTGGCTGCGATCCACCGAATGATGGGACAGCGGTGTGTAGGGCCATAGTCTCCAAGGATCTTCGCCCACCGACTGAGTATAGCTCAGCAGTAAGCCAGGCTTGATCCGCTATGGTCCACCGACTGTGCGCATTGACGGTGTGTAGGGTCGTAAGTCCCCCCTTGGAAAGGGGATCGCGGTCCATCGACTGTGTGCGTCACCGGTGTGTCGGATCGTGGTCCGGCGTTGAGTTTGTCAGCGGTTCTCAAAGGGTTGGTTGCGATCAACTCCCCTCGTACCACGGTGCTGAGGTAGGGTGCTGCGGGGCCGTGTTAATGCTATAAGCATTAACCCTCATGTTCGGGGCATGCGATTGGTCCCGTGGCGCCATCAATGATTATGTGATATGAATGACGATTGGATGATGATGTGTTTGGAATTGAAAAAATGATTGGTGACCTGAAATCTGTATTCCTGGTGATACTATCTCTACATAAGTATTTATTATTTGATGTGTTTGTCCCTAATTGCTGAGTCTATTCCTGGTTTTAAAGTAGTGCACTTAAGTATATATCTTCCTGCTTCGAAATGACTTTTCATATATCTATATATATATATCTATCTATAATGTATTTCAACGCGTTGGAGTGGGTTACCAGCATCTCTCGCTGAACAGATATATTTGGCTTTCAGGCACGGATGAGTAGACACTGGAGCGCGCTAGAGATTGGAAGTGTAGAGTAGATAGTTCCCTTTTGGCCTGCGTGCCATGCGTATGTATTGACATTATTAAGGATTTTAGATAATTAGCCTGTGCACCTGAGTTCTCTAGCTCAGGGGAGTGACTTTGGTCTTAACTTACCAGGAAAATATGGTTTTAACCATGGAAAGCACAGACACCCAAAAGGTCAAATTTTGGCGTAATTAGGTTCTTTGTTGAACAACTTTTTGTACGGGGAGGAATTATGTAGAATAGGAGTAGGCATACGGTTGATTAAATACACCGCCGTTTGGAAGGCATACGACCAGTACACTGATGGCATAGACGCAAAGTGTAAGAGCGCCATACCACTTTCCACTATGTGTCTGTGTCGCCTCTCTGCAGAACCGTTGTGTTCCGGGGTATGGGGAGGTGACATAAAGTGTGAAATCCCCATACTATTGAATGTTGGAACCAACCTGGTGTATTCACCTCCATTATCTGAAAAGACAGAGATTATCATGTGGCCAAAATAATTTTCGACCATGGACTTAAACTGCAAAACACTTTATGGACATCAGACTTGAGTTTTAATGGATACAACCAGACATACTTTGTGTAGTGGTCTATAAAACTAACATAGTACTTAAAAGCATCAACAGAGACCGTTGACGAACTCCAAACATCTGTATATATAAGTTCTAACGGCTTAGAGCTGGTCATAGAGTTAAACGAAAATGGCAATTTATGAGTTTTATTTACGTGACACGAAGTTCATGAAAACATCTCGAGTGCACTACGATCAAAGTGCACATTATTACTCTTGAGAATGGAAGCCAGAACTCTGTGGCTGGGATGACCATACTGATGATGCAACTTAGAAACTGAGGTTGTGGTATTAACTTGACACTTCTGAAATGGAATGCAATAAACGTCATTCAAAACGGACCGCAAACTAGGGGTGTGCCCGAAACTCGATCCTTAATCAAAAAATATGAATCAAAAAATTCAACCGAAACTGAGTTAGTCTGGCAGAGTTTAGAAACAGAGACCAATTTTTTTTGCAAATTTGGAACGCATAAGACATCTAATAAAAGAAGTGAATGGTTCGCATAGGGAAGAGAAACTGACCCAGTATGTGATATACGCAAGGACTTACCATCTCCCAGAATAATTTCATCCGGAAATGTGTACTCCGAAAGGTAATGCAGGGACATAGGGTCATTAATCGTATGATGTGAGGCCCCTGAGTCCATGAGCTACGACTGAGACGGTGTGGAGCTAGTGGCAGTAGTGTGCACCGTAGGTGACTGGTGACCACTGCCTTGGGGTTCAACAACAACCACGTTGTTTTCTTTCAAGAATTTGGCCAGCTTGGGACAATATTTCGTGTCATGTCCGGGGTAATCGCAGTAATTGCAGTACCGATTTGAACGGTTCCCGGTTTGTCGCGCATAGCCTTGCCGCCCACTAGAGTTTGCACCACCGCGACCACGCCGAGTACTTGAATGGAACGTAGAGTCTGTTGCACCATTAGAGCGTCGTTGCGTGGCATTAGCCGTGAGCACGTGAACCTGAGACGCTGCATCGTTAGCTTGTAGCAGGCGTTCATAGTCCGTAAGAACATCATGCAGTTCTCCAAATGAGATGGCCTCACATCGAACACGGAGCGCCGCCACAACCGGATTGTAGTCGTCACCTAATTGAGTGAATATGTGAACGCCCAGATCCTCTTCACTTATCGGACTTTGGGCAAGTGCCAGATCATCCGCAATAGTCCGCATCTCTCGCATGTATGAGTTAACGGACCGGTTACCTTTGGGATTCTTCGCAAGTTTCGCTTTCAGTAAAACAATTCGTCCCCTGGAGGAAGCGGCACAGGTAGTGGATAACCGGATCCAGGCATCACGCACAGATGATGCTGACGAAACCACAGGTTGGAGTGTGTCTGTCAAGCTGCCTAGGATCACACTCTGAATTATTTGATCATGTCGATACCATGTCGTGCAGGCTGGGTTCGAGCTTGTCTGTGCGGCGTCAGTGAATTTAGCCGAAGCTGATATGGTGCCATCAACGTAGCCGACGAGGTCTAGGCCGGTCAGCGTGTACTCCACCTGTTTCCTCCAAATGGGGAAGTTGGAGTTGGTAAGTTTGATCGGCAGGTGAGACGGGGCATATATTTGAACGATGCTGGTTTGGGTTGTGGCAGCCATGAGAGAACGAGGAAGGGGAAAGGGAAAAGAAAAAAAAATTCTCGTTAGAGCAGTGGCTCTGAAACCATGTGAGAGTGGCAAAATGAACACATCTAACCATTAACAGAGAAGAGGAATAAATAGCCAACATCCCACACAACCAGTGAGCTAGTTAAACAGAACCCAAAGACTAGGTAAACAACAACAACTATTAACTAAGTCTCAATAGTATCCCCCCCCCCCCCCACCCATCGAACTCAATTTCATGAGAGGAAGGGCAAATATTAATTGAGACAGTAAGAGTTGTGGAAAATATTCTCCATAAACCCCTTTTTCATGTTACAAAATTTAAAGAGCCATAATTTAATCTAATGGATCTTGCAAATCAATGGCTACAAATGATTCTGAGAATCTTATATTTCCTCAAGTAGATAGACCAATGAAAGTAATTCAAAAATTACAAGCACAATGTGTATTTGACATTTAGGATCCAGAAAATTTGAGGAAAACCTCAAAGCCTGGTTTCCAAAGAGTGCATAATAATCCATTTAATAAGTCAAAGGAAGATTTGCTTTTAGTAAAATAAGAATATCATGCAAACTCATATTGAATTCAGAATTCTAGTGAAGATACGATATGGAAATGGCACATTGACACTGCAATGGAATGTTGAAATTGAACCTTTAGTGCCTAAAGTTTGCCACTTGTATTACTGTTTCTAAGAAAGTTTGCCACTTGTATTTCCGTTCCAAAGAAAGATCATGAATAAATAATTTCTATTGAAAGAGACAAAGAGTATAACCTAGCCACTTATACTACCTGCTTGTATTTATAAACCTAAAATCATCAATCTGAATAAAAATAGTCTCAAAGGAGTTTGCATCAGCAATTTTCTTGCTAGCCTGAAAGAAAAAAGAAGTTTAGGATAAAAATTGAAAAGGAAGAGTCAAGAACAAAAAAAAAATAAGATATTAACTAAAGATTAGAATGCAACTCAGTTATTTTGTCTCAAAGGAGTTTGCTGCCCAAATGCAGAGTAATTACAAACAACATTCTTGTAGAACTGTAGAAGTATAAACTACTCATCCTACTATTGCATTTTTCTCAAGTGTCCAACAAATTCTTACTTTGGAAGGGAATACATATAATGATAAAGAACAAATGAAGGAGTGAGCAGAGGCAAAGGATAGGGGGAAAGAGTTCTTACACTGAGTTCAATGCTATCTGTTTCACTTGCTTGTAGTTTCGTAGATTTAGCTTTCACGAACTTAATCCCTAATCAAATTGGGGATTGAATCACAATGCAAATCATCCAAAAGAAATCCACATTGTTAAAATAAGTTAAATCAAACAAAAAATTTGAGGTGAATTGTGACAGCACCCACCATTTCTCGTGCAACTAGGTGTAAAAAAATTACGAAGTTTATCAAATTCCGTTGAAATTCAGCTCGGTGACCCGTGAGTCATGAGTCGTCTGTTGACAATTGTGACTCGTGAGGGAGGAAGACTCGTCGACTCGAAGAGGAATAGCCAAATAGAGGATTACAGAAAAATTTACCAAAATGATCATGTACTATATTGATTTGACTAATTTGGTTATAGTGATAGAACTGGAAGAAACTAACTATATTGAATGAACAGTAATTAAAATTGTACAGATAGGGAATGTATACAAAGGGAATCATAGGAAGACTAGGATAGGGAGTCATAATTATATGACTCAAATACAAAAAGTCATAAAACTAGTCCTAATACTCCCCCTTAAAAAAAAAAAAAAAAATACTTCCCCTCAAACACAGGGTATACTAGTAACCTGTAGCTTGTCCATAAGAAAAGAAAATCTAGGACTAGGCAAGGCTTTAGTAAATATGTCTGCAAGCTGATCCTTTGTTAAGATGAAGTTGAGTTGAATATCTCCAGTAGCAACTCTGTTTCTAACAAAGTGATAGTCTATCTCTACGTGCTTGGTACGAGCATGGAACATGGGATTTGCACACATATATGTAGCACCAAGATTGTCACACTGGTGAGCTGTCGTAGGCTCCCAAATTAAAACCTTACAAATGTAGTAGCGAGAGTAAGGATCGATCCCACGAGGAGTAACTAGTTTAACTTTTGTGCTTAAGGAAACGATGGCGGGTTTGGAATATATCGAGAATAAATATTAAATAAAAGAGAAATTAAATAAACGAGAAATTTAATCAAACGAATAAACAGTGAAAATAATATATCGAAAACACTTATAATAAGAAACCTTGGTTAGTAAAGATCCACCACCAGAATATAACACTGATCATTGATTCATAAAGCAATTAATATGCAATTGAATATTTGTCGTGAAATTATTTCATTTCCGTTTTCCCTTAGTTGTAGGTAACTAAAGCACACGCGGTTTAATTACCCCTAACTACTAAATAACCTAAGACAAGCGCTATAGATTTAATTTAATAGCACCAATAGGAACTAGGAAAACCGACAAACTAAATAACACAAACACAAGCGGTTGCATTTAATTTAGGAAAATATTCTACCCGAGTCCAATTATCACTAAGCCGTCAATAATTAACCCAGTTGCTACTGAATATTAGAGTAATTTGTAGCACAACATTATCTAATATAGCAAATAATTATATCAAATAAATAACTAGTAGGCCTCCCTAGCAATTAAATGACACAATTATTTCAAATAACTTAGAAGAATATTTAATACTCAAATGCATAAAAAATATATAATAAAAATAAATAAATAACCTTACAGCGTAATGAACTCCGGGGCTTCAATTCACTAAACCAAACAAGAAATTAGCCGCGAATGGACATTGATAACAACCTTAAAGAATATTCGAGAGGGGAAGAATGAACATTTTACAATAGGAAACTTCTTCTATTTATAGCATTCTAAAAATAACCTAAGCTATTCTCTACCACACAATTCCTACTTTTCCTCCGCACGTCCGAAGTCAGCTTCCACCATTTGCTTCGCATGAATTGAATATTTCTTCCAAAACAATATTTACCATCATTTTGCATGCATCTCCGTTGGACCAAACTACATTTGACATTAATATATATATTAAAATGCATATATGTACGTACGTAGTCTATATATTAGTGCATTCTATATTATATATATTAAATATATATATATATGTTTAGTTTGTGCGCAATATATATATATATATATATATATATATATATATATACACATTAGTATGTATTATATAGTATATATTATATTATATATTATATATAAAAAGAACTAATCATTAGATAATATTAAATAACCAATGCAAAATTATTATAAAGATGTACCTAAAATATGAGTGTAAAATGTGCATATCAAACTCCCCCACACTAAAACGTTTGCTTGTCCTCAAGCAAAAATATTATTTGCGAAGTAAATTAAAATAAAACTCCTGAAACTCATAACATATCATGAACAACAATTTGAAACACCCTGCAATTAATAAGTTAGCACCCCTGTTCAAAATTGGAGAGAACTAAACAAGTAAGCTCTCACAGGAATATCACTCATCACTCAAGTGTTTGATGGGTATAGATTTCACTCATGTTCATTCCTATAAAATTGCTCTACCATAGGCTTGCATGTCTTCTCAATCACCACTACAAGAGTCATGCATGACACAAATCATAAGGACTTTCCATAGGTTGTAATGGGGCTAGGGTTAAGGTAGGGAATATTTTAGGGAAGTAGTTTAAATAAAACCTTCAAACTAGAGGAGCAAAATATATGCAAATAATCCAAGATACTTGCTCAACACCCTCAATTTTTTCATTCAAAGCATTTCCTATTGACATTTCAACCCAATTGTCATTCTCAGAAATATAGAATTCTTCCTCAATATTACAAGAATTTCCCTTTACTTCATTTATTTAGAAGTAACTTCAACTCAAAATCAATTGCTGATTCTTTCTCATTTATTTCAGCAATATTTTTCTTTTTCAAACATATATTCTCCATTTTTCCCTTTTCATTTTTTCAATTTTTCATGCCCTTTTTTTTTTTTTTTGAATCGAGAACTGCTTCATCTTTTCTTTTCCATAGAAGACCAACGACATATTGGCAACGAAGATACAACTCACCTCACTCTCAATCATATTAATAAGAGTAAGTGATCTCCCCCACACTAATCCTTCCCAACCTCACGTAGATTACAAAAATAATCCAAAATTTGCTCCACTAGTTATTCAGCTGGGTGAAGGCATTATTTTAGATATAAAAGGCTTGTAATGTGGTTCAAAATAAAGAAAGGAATGACCATAAAGCTCAAAGTGGTTAACAAAGGGAAATAAATCATAGGACAAACCGGTTATTTGGCTAGTGAGGCTCAAAGTCAAATAATGGCCTTAATCACATTTGAATCATGCATGGTCAAATTAGCTTTAAAAGAGAATCAAGGCAAGTTCTAGAGAAACAAAATTATGGAAGAAAGCGCACAATAGAAAGAAATTAAGACCGAAGTGTCGGTTAATGGCTCAAAATCTCACAGGTTTATTGCTTACTTAATATAGCCACTACATATCAAACAGGAAATGCTAACAAACTAATCACAATTTTCCAAACTATTTATTCAATCATGTCATGAATTCCAAGAAAGGAAAAAAAAATAATTTTTCAAAATAATACTTATTTTGCATAAAATAATAGTAAAATTTTATTTTTTTTAAAAAATTATGAAATAAGAAAACAAATAATAATAAATTTTTTTTTGACATAAGCAAACAAACAATAAAACTAAATTAAGCAAACAAACAATAAAACTAAATTAAGCAAACAAATAATAAAACTAAATCTCCTCCCCCACACTTATTATCAACATTGTCCCCAATGTTGAATAAAAACATGCAGAAAAAGGGTTATTGAATGAGAATAGGGAATAAAATAAAATAAAATAAAATAAAAATGGAACAAACACACCTTAGGTTGCCTCCCAAGCAGCGCCTTTGTTTATCGTCGTTGGCTCGACTTATGATATATCTTTAAATTTCCATCGTCTTTTTGAGTACCTTCGATGATTATGAGTATTCAAAGAAACAGCCCCTTCATGCAGATTAGGACTCAAAGATGATTTATTATTTGGTTCTTCTTTATTTTCAATAGAAGCAATTGCATTAAATTTAACAAGTTTCAAGGAATCAACAAAAATTGCAAAATTATCATCACTAGGAGATTTCATGGTATCATAAATATTAAAGTTCACAAATTTACCATTAGACTCCATTGTAAGCATGCCACTATGAATATCAATTTTCGTTTTTGCGGTTTTTAAAAATGGTCTTCCTAACAAAATATGAGAAATTTGATTATTGTTTTCCATATCAAGGACATAAAAATCAGCAGGAAAAACCAAGTTATTAACTTTAACAAGAAAATCCTCAACCACACCCCTAGGATATGTAGTAGATCCATCAGCCAATTGAATTACTATACTAGATTTATTCAGGGGTCCAAGATTTAAAGAAGCATACACAGGATATGGCATAACATTAATAGAAGCTCCTAAATCTAACATAGCATTTTCAAGTTTAACACCACTTATCATGCACGGAATAGTAAACATACCTGGGTCTTTGCACTTTTCAGGAAGATTGCCTTGACTAGCCATAGAGACATTCTCATTCACTTTCACTTCCTCAACTCCTTTATTTTGTTTATTTTTCAAAGTGCATAACTCTTTTAGAAAATTTGCATAGCGAGGTACCTTTTTCATAGAATCTAAAAATGGTTTATTGCTCTCACATTCACGAAAGGTCTCATATAAATCGTTATTTGAGTTTCCTCTTATTGGTTCTAAAAGAGCTTGAGGAAATGGGGGTACTGGTTCATAATCAGAAAAAGAAGAAAGCTTACCATGGGACTTCTCTTTATTGTTGGCAATGATTCCTGCACTTATTTCCTTGTTTAAATCAACATTCTTTTCCAGCGACATACTTCTCACAGTAATTGCACTTACATTCTCTTTAGGATTAACGATCGTTTGAGAGGGTAATTTGCCAGAACTCTGTGCTTCCAACCGACTTACCGTAGTTGCTAGTTGGCCCACTTACCTTTCTAAGTTTTGAATACTAGCCTTTGTTTCTTGAATACTAGCCCTTGTCTCTTGTTGGAATAGTTGTGTTTCTTGTTGAAACTGCAAAGTGTTAGTAGCAAGAGATTTAACAATATCTTCTAGATTCATACCTGAGCTAGAGCTTTGGGCTGGTTGGTAGCTGGAAGGGAATTGTTGTCTATACGTTTGAAAGTTGGAACGATTCGGAACAAACTGGTTCCCTTGTGAGTTCCCATAGTTAAGGTTCGGGTGATCCCTCCATCCAGGATTATATTTATTAGAAAATGGATCATACTTACCTTGAGGTTGTCCAGGAAAACCTCCAGCCATGTTGACTTGTTCAATAGGTTCTTCTTGAAGAGTTGGGCAGGCATCAGTTTGGTGCCC